AAAATATAACTTTTTGGTAAAAACTCAAAGAATGCTGAGTTGCATCCAAAGAACACCATACCTACTGTGAAGCATGGGGGTGGAAACATCATGCTTTGGGGCTGTTTTTCTGCAAAGGGACCAGGACGACTGATCCGTGTAAAGGAAAGAATGAATGGGGCCATGTATCGTGAGATTTTGAGTGAAAACCTCCTTCCATCAGCAAGGGCATTGAAGATGAAACATGGCTGGGTCTTTCAGCATGACAATGATCCCAAACACACCGCCCGGGCAACGAAGGAGTGGCTTCGTAAGAAGCATTTCAAGGTCCTGGAGTGGCTTAGCCAGTCTCCAGATCTCAACCCCATAGAAAATCTTTGGAGGGAGTTGAAAGTCTGTGTTTCCCAGCGACAGCCCCAAAACATCACTGCTCTAGAGGAGATCTGCATGGAGGAATGGGCCAAAATACCAGCAACAGTGTGTGAAAACCTTGTGAAGACTTACAGAAAACGTTTGACATGTGTCATTGCCAACGAAGGGTATATAACAAAGTATTGAGAAACTTTTGTTATTGACCAAATACTTATTTTCCACCATAATTTGCAAATAAATTCATTAAAAATCCTACAATGTGATTTTCTGAATTTTTTTTCCTCATTTTGTCTGTCATAGTTGACATGTACCTATGATGCAAATTACAGGCCTCTCTCATCTTTTTAAGTGGGATAACTTGCACAATTGGTAGCTGACTAAATACTTTTTTTCCCCACTGTATGTGGGAACTCCTTCAAGACTGTTGGAAAAGCATGCCAGGTGAATCTGATTGAGAGAATGCCAAGATGGTGCAAAGCTGTCATCAAGGCAAAGGGTGGCTATTTGAAGAATCTCAAATAGTGTATGTATATGATACATTTCTGAATTTCATTTTCAATAAATTTACAAACATTTCTAAAAACATGTTTTCACTTTGTCATTATGGGGTATTGTGTGTAGATGGGTGATAAAAAAATAAATGAAATCAATTTTGAATTCAAGCTGGAACAACAAAATGTGGAATAAGTCAAGGTGTATGCATATAAAACATGTTATCACACAATGAACCAAGACTGTGCTGCATTCATTACAAAATAGCTGTGGTTTATTCCTTTGGGGAGAAAAAACGGCAATAACTAAGCATTACCAGACATGTCTACAGGAAAGAAACGGCAATGGCTCCTTCTCCCAAGAGAATATCCAAGTTAATTTGCAGTCAGGTAAAAACCGTAGTCAAATATTAGATTTTTGTTTGTTTTTGCTTTTATACATCGTTTTCACATTCTGGTTATCTCTCACAAAACGTCTTCATTTGATTATTCTCTCCCCGGGCCGAGCCCAAAAAAAATAACTGCTTTTCAATTTTATGGTTGAAAATGTTTGTTTACATCGTTCAAAAATACTTTTTGTGTCTGTACAAATTCCTATGAAAAACAACGAGGACAGTTGAGGAAAAACAACTAGAAAGTAAATCACAAAAAAATATATAGAAGCCCGATTGAAGCTTAATGTCATATTGTAACTGGTGCACAACATCTTCTCTCGGTTTTTCCAACAGAAATCCAGAGATTTCAAGACAGATCTACACACAAAATTACAACACATCATGACCCCCAAAAAATACTTTCCGTTGTGCATTGCTCTATTCCATCCCCTCTACTTTGTCTTTTCTATTAATAAAATAAGATGCAGATCAAGCAACGTTCCATATGGAAGAGGGTTTTCTCTTCTTTTTGTGTCTCTTGCAGAGAATTTTGCTTTACTCCTCAAGCTACCAACATATTTTACATATGTGGATTACCAACTGTTAGCGAAACAATGGGAGTGGTAGGGGCTAATGCATGCTTAAAATAGTATGCCCAAATCCTCAAAGTCGCATTAAATCAAATTGTATAGCAACCAAAATATCTTAACAAGTTGCACATGTAAAATATTTGAGAATATTATACAGATGTAGGATCTTAATTTGATCACCCTGTTGTTGCAGGAAACATTAACTTGTAGTGTACTCAATGTTTAAAAAGGATTCTAAAGTTTGTAATTTACACTTAAAAATGTCAGACTTGATTTGCTTTAAAACATGTATCAACCCCTACAAAAATGTCCATTATAATCCACATAATTCAAATTTCCTGTTGCTACAGGATTACTTTCCTGCTGTGGCAAACTGTCTCACATTAAGATCCTATATCTGTAGGAATTCTGTTATTTAAATAGCATTTCCATTGATTTTTTTGTTTTAGAGAATACACACCAATACAGCACTATATGTACATTCAGAGAATAGCTGGTTTCTGTATTACAGTTCTACGAAGTATTCATACCACTGACAGACTTTTATAAAGGTGTTTTGACTGCAACTATATCAATTGTAATTTGGATTTTGTACACGCGCATACCTAGTTATAACCAAGGCGAGTACATTAGGTGCTCCATCTCTGCAGGTGATCCGTCTTTCAGGACAAGATCACTGCAACAGGTCCCCCTCCACCCTCTGATGATATGCATTACTTAATATTATGTCTCCACTGAAACCTGAAATCACAACTTTTTTAGATTTTCCCTAGAATAACTACTTTTTGGATAATGCACACCAATACAGCTCTCTGTGTAGATTCAGAGTATCTGAGTTCTGTATTGCAGTTCTATCAAGAATGTATACCATTGGCAGATTTGTATTATGCACAAAAATAAGGAAATGTTGGTTTTGTACAGTCATAAGATACGTGGTCTAGAAAAGTACAATCTTAGGTGAGTACATGGGGTGCTACAGGACACTGCCAAAATGAAAGAAACACTTGAGCAAATGAGGGATACAAAGTATATTGAAAGCAGGTGCTTCTACACAAATGTGGTTCAGGAGTTAATTAAGCAATTAACAGCCCATCATGCTTAGGGTATAAAAAGCCCAGATGCCCATTATTTTGGCTAACATGGCTAGAAGAGGAGATTTCAGTGACTTTGAAAGAGGGGTTTCAAAGGAGCATAGGGGGTTTAAAGGGTGTGTGTGTTTTAGAGCTGGGACAATATACCTAAAATTACCGACACCGCCTTCCTCTTACTGAAGCATTTTGCGTACGTAGGTAATTTTCTACTTTTCTGTAGCTTGTTCTAAAACCATTATTTGGTCAACAGTAATAGCCTATGCATTATGTTGATTCCTGCTATGAAAGTATCTGCCTGTCCACTCACTCTCCCCACTGTGCGCAGAGGGAGATGCATTCAGAGAAGCACAAGCATGACCAATGCTCAAACTGTAATTGTGGGAAAAATAGTTTAAAACCATCTACTGTCGTTCTAGTTACAGAGAGGAGTCACAGCTTTGTGAGTATATAATTTATTTCACACCTCTTAATATTGAGTTCATGGCACCACTTTACAACCAGAGGAGGCTGTAGTGTTGTTTTGATGCAGAGCACGCGATGTGCAGTAAACAGGCCAACATCAAATAGGCTAGGCCTAGCGCTGGAAAGTTTTTGTAGGATATTAGCTTACATTTAGTGATATATTAATAAATAAGCCTAAATGGCTATATAGCAACAACATATTTAGAGTTAGCAATATAGCTAAGTGTTTTGAGTTCCCACTTTCTCAGGTGGTGAATAATATAGTCTATAAGCCAATATGCACAAAGATGTCAGCAAATTCTCTGAAGAGCCCAAAATAAGTCTGATAATTCTGGATCATATTTTAACAGGTTGCAAATAAAAATTATAAATCATGCATTCCCTAGATATGTTAGATGAAAGATCTTACTTTTCGAATCATAGGCTACCATCTCAGTTGTCTTACTTGGCACTGTTCTGGCCCAACACCCTATTAAAGACATGTTATGTTGGAGTTTCCTTTATTTTGGCAGTTACCTGTATACAGTATCTCTGCAGATGATCTGTCTATCTGGTCAAAATCACAGATACAGGTCCCCCTCCACCCTCTGATGGTATGGATAAGTTGTTTTTAAAAATGACTCCAAAGCAGTATACTTTTTTAAGAGTCCACATTGATACAGAAACACTAAACAATTATTTAGATTTATTAAGAACAAGTGATTGACAAAGTCATGAAAAACTTGAAGAATTTAATAAACCATCTCTGGGCTACGATAAAAAATATGCCTCGGGTCAAAATGACCCATCGCTAGCTTGAAGGTTAAAGGGTTTTTTGTCCAACGGTTTCGCCCACTAAGCTTGTGTTATGTGTGCTTCTCTATTACAGTACTCTGTATCACTGCTGCTGCAGTGGCGTTTGACAAAGGGTTGACCTGTAACATTAGTGCAACATTTTCCCACTACTTTAAAAACAGGGTTTCATTGATATTGTCCAGTCTTTGAACAGGCCCTTGGCTTCAGGGTCTTGGCCCTGGGCTCCTAGGTCATTATGGTAAACAGGCCCATTCCTTCATGCTGCCTTTACCTAACCAGCCTATCAAATAGGCCCTTTTTCGATTGACACCTGCGCCTATGGTTGTCAACCAATGAGAACAGAGAAAGGGACAGACGAAGCTAATCTACACATGTGCAGTGAAGGCCTTGCTTTGCGTCGCTCCACTTTGCTCTCGTCCTCTTGTATCCTCCATGTTCAAAAGAGTGTTTCTTGTGGGCTTGGTTGGAGTTGTCAATTTCTTTCCCCCCCAATCTCCTATGCAGTTGGTAGACTCCACATCCTGGGATGTGGCTGACCCCATGTCATCGAAGGACGCAGGCCTTGTGGTTACGGGTTCACAACAACAAACACAGACCTCATTAAGCCAGAGCTGAGGAGAAATAGGGTTTTTAGTGTAGCCTAGCGGCTCGTTGTAAACAAAACATCCCCTTCTTAGGCCGACTGTCGGCCCTCTCCTCCTTTTTCTCTTCCATTTTCCCCCTCCATCTTAGAATACAAATACAGCAGGTTCAGATATGGGTCGGAGGGGTTGAGGGAGAGGCGTTAATTGTGGTGGGGAGGGATTTTCCCTGTGCGTGCGAGGGGGGTGGGTGGGGGTATGTGTGTTAAGACTGTTTGAGGCGCTTCCGGGGCGGCCCCAGGAAGGGGCACTGGGCCGAGGCCAGCGAGCGGTAAGCTTCGGCCACCAGGTGAGGATGGGATGCCACCATGGACTTCCAGCCCGCCGTCTCCATCACCTCGGCAGCATGGCTAGAGACAGGAGGGGAGAGACAATAAAAAAAAAAAAACTAAAATGTGCACCCCACATGTGGGTGAAACATTAAGAAACACTAGTATAGGAGACTGCTACCCCCCCCCCCCCACGAACACACACAGTACAGTAGTTAACTCACTAGTTGATGAAGTCCACAGCCTGTGTTTTGAGCTGGTCGGCGCTGTGCAGGTCTGCCAGGATGAGGATCTCTGCAGCGTTCTCCACAGACAGACTGGTGCACAGCGCATCCTCACACATCACTTTCAGCCTCTCAAGAGCATACTGACACAGACAGAGACAGAGACAGAGACAGAGACAGAGACAGAGACAGAGAGAGAGAGAGAGAGAGAGAGAGAGAGAGAGAGAGAGAGAGAGAGAGAGAGAGAGAGAGAGAGAGAGAGAGAGAGAGAGAGAACATGAAATGAGGACAAACAGATTAACAAAATACTAATAAAAATTAATCTTCTATGAAAATAGTTATTCTAAGTGGCAGGCAATGTGCTCAGGTGGGGGCAAAAGGGTTTTTACAGACAATCTTTCCATTAGAACCTTTCATGGGTATTGTAAAGGGCTCGACAACCCTCCAGGCCAGTCAATCATCCATGTCAGAGGCCCGCTTGGGCCTGTGACATTTTTTTTGTAATAATGCCATTTTCAATCTAGGCTAAATAATTGATGAAAAAAACTGACGAATTCCTGAAGCCGTTAAGTTTGTTTTGTAGATTATGTATCACACTCACGCCGCACACATAACCTAGTTTGAGCTGAATAATCTGTCAGGTAGCAAGAGCGTGCAGCTCTCAACTGGTTGTGGTTAGTGGTTAAGAGCGTTGTGCCAGTAACCGAAAGGTCGCTGGTTCTAATCCCCGAGCCGACTAGGTGAAAAATCTGTCGATGTGACCTTGAGCAAGGCACTTAACCCTAATTGCTCCTGTAAGTCGCTCTGGATAAGAGCGTCTGCTAAATGACTAAAATGTAAATGTAAATGTTGTCGCGTGGAGCAGCTCACAGAATTCGAAAAGTTTGGTCTGAAGTCTTGGGTGAGTCTTTACGATGCGCAATTCAGTCATCATTCTCTGTTTGAATTAACATTTCAACGCTTTCCCCCAAAATCTTCCCAATTAAATGTTGACTGCAAAGTAGGCCTACCTGGCATAATGATATCATGATGATTTTTATCAATCTTGGGGCATTGGTTTTGCAAACTCTGCCGTCACATGTAGCCTACGCTGTACATTGTACAGTACAAAAACACAGCTAGCCAAACAAAGGTATCTTGCTAGGTGCACAATTGAATTAAAGGACAACTACACCTCCCAAATGTTTATTTTATTTTATTGTTCCCAGACCTCAAAAATGGTCTCCTGATGTCGTGCACTTAGAACATCCAATTTGTATTTTTTCTATTAAAAAGTGGGAGAGTGAAAACTCGGAAACCTTGAAAAACTATACCAGGAAAACTGAATTTAGCAAAATATATGATTTTATAGTGCCCTACAACAATAGACTGCTGACTGTTCAAAATCGCTAACTAACAAATTTTTCCCCCTCCAAACAATCTATGTAAATGATATTGTCAAGTTAAAATGTAACTATTTGTGTATGGAGAGTAGGTCATTATAGGCTACTTACTCAGCCAGAAAACTAAAGATAAAATTGAGATTATTAATTAAAGATTTCAGAGGTTTAAAAAGGAACGATGGTGCCTTTACAAAGACAGTGTAGTGAAGAAGGCACCTCAGTAGGCTGAATAAATTTGTCTTGGTCCCTAAGACCCTCACAAACTTCTACAGATGCACCATTGAGAGCATCCTGTTGGGCTGTGTCACTGCCTTGTACGGCAATTTCACCGTCCGTAACCGCAGGGCTCTCCAGAGGGTGGTGCGGTCAGCCCAACACCCTGCAATTCTATCCATTTTGCTATGGGGGTAGTGTATACTGTATTCTTGACATAGCTCATTCTAATATTTCTACTACCGTACATTGCATTTTAATTAAATAGTTTATACACAGCGCATATTTATTTATATTCTGTATTCTTGCGCTTACTAATGTACTGTATCCACTGCTGTACATATCATTCCTAGTACATCTTGTGTAAATTAATCTGGTGTAGATAGGTATAGATTGCATTTGGATTACTGTTACAGTGCTACTTGGGTTGTTAATTGGATTCGTTCCAACATTTCTTGAGTTGTTGTTCTTTCTTTTTTTGTTTTATTTAATAGATTATTTGTGTACCTGTCTTGACATTTGACTGCATTGTTAGGCGCTAGTAACATAAGCATTTTGCTGCACCTGCTATAACATCTGCTAAACTGTGTACGCGACCAATAAACTTTGATTTGATGCTTCCTTGTCACTACGGGGTGAGGTTTCGCCTAGGTACAGATCTAGGATCAGCTGCACGTTGAGTTTTTCCCCTAGCACTACACAGCGGATTCAAATAATAAAAGCTTAATAATGAGTTGATTATTTGAATCAGCTGTGTAGTGCTAGGGCAAAAACAAAAATGTGCACCCCTTAGGGTCCCCAGGACCAAGACTGCGAAACACTGATCAATGGGCAAATTCACCCTACCTTGTCAGCGGCTGCTAGAAGGTCGTCAGCCATCTTGTCCAAGTTGGGGGCCTTGTCTGTGTAGATGAAACACATCATCTCCTTGAAGACCTCTGGCTCCACGTCGTTGATCTCCACTCGGTTCTAAAGAGGTGGAGAGGTAGAGAGAGAGGTGGAGAGACGGCGAGCGCGCGAGAAAGACGGTGAGGAAGAGAGAGAAAGGGGGAAGGAGAAAGCCAGAGAGAGATACATGTAAATTGCACGTGTTTTTAGTAGTTTATTATTGATCCATGTGAGAAGAAGCAGAAGAGGAATAATGCACAACATGTGCATGATACATGTTCGTGGGGAACTTTGAGAGCTGCCCTTTCAATTACAAAATAGGAAATACCACTAAAACATCAGAGAAAATAGATTTCCGTGTCTTCCCCCTCCTTGCTCTTCATTGACCAATGTGTCTGAAATTGCAAGGTGGACAAAACCTTGCTCCACGACTGAAAAATGACCTTTTTGAATTTCAGAATGGTTGAGGCATCTCTCACAATTGTATTTCTTATTGTTGCAAGCACACAAAGGAGAAGAAAAGCAATTCCTGGGCTCGCGCTGCTTTGACAGCAAAGGATGAAATGTTGACCTTGCGTATAGTGAGAGATTATTTTATTTTAGAAACCCTCTTGTTTGGTTTCGTCAAACGGCCTTGTGCAATAGAACGGGCTACAAAACACCTTTCACTATGAACTGACAGTAAGTCGCTGCAGATACTATAAGTGTGTCTGCATTCTATTTGTTACATTATGCCATTACACCAGCAGAGAGGGAATACAATAGTGAAACAACCTTTTTTTTACACAAACGTGTTAAGCCAAGAACAAAAAACAAACATGAATTTGAAGTCAATATTGTAAAAGAGGATTTGTTCTCAATGATTTACATGGCTAAATAAAGCTAAAAAGAAAAAAGAAAAAAAAGATGGCTACTCTTAACCCGCACTGATATATTTTGGGACATACAAACATGTTAAGAGGATCCAGGTGAAGGAAGATTGAGGAAAGGGGCCTCAGACTCACCTTTTTACTCTCCTCCATCTCATGCTCAAACATTGCACTGAACACAGGAGAGCGTGCTGAGGAAAATACAAATATTTCTTTAGATTAAAAGATTAGATTATGCCACTGGGCCTCAATAGAAATTGGAGGTGTCTGCATTTTATGAATGTGTGTGTGTTCTGTTTGTACCTGCTAATATGGCTTTGTGGGCCTGGAACTCCTGCCCGGCCACACACAGGGAGCAGTCGGTGAAGCGCGAGTTCTCCCACAGCCCACCCAGCTCATCAGCCAGTCTGCAGTCAGGCACCTTCACCATGTTCATGGTGTTCTGACCCGAGATGTTCACCGAGTCCTGCACCACACTCACCTTGAGAAAACAGAGGCTGCGTTTAGACAGGCAGCCCAATTCTAATATTTTTTCAACTAATTGGTGTTTTCACATCAGTTCTTTTGACCAATTAGTGAAAAAAATATCAGAATTGGCCTGGCTGCCTGTCTAAACGCAGCCAGAGAGTTAGCCCACCAAACCAACCTGGTCACAATTATCAACAATGTGAAGACACTAAAGCTGCTCTGTCTAAATACATACTGCCTTAAGCATAAATCAAAGTCCACAGACACTGAGAAGCGATAGTTCGGCGTCCCATTGTGACATACAGTGGGGAAAAAAAGTATTTAGTCAGCCACCAATTGTGCAAGTTCTCCCACTTAAAAAGATGAGAGAGGCCTGTAATTTTAATCATAGGTACATGTCAACTATGACAGACAAAATGAGAAAAGAAATCCAGAAAATCACATTGTAGGATTTTTAATGAATTTATTTGCAAATTATGGTGGAAAATAAGTATTTGGTCACCTACAAACAAGCAAGAGTTCTGGCTCTCACAGACCTGTAACTTCTTCTTTAAGAGGCTCCTCTGTCCTCCACTCGTTACCTGTATTAATGGCACCTGTTTGAACTTGTTATCAGTCTAAAAGACACCTGTCCACAACCTCAAACAGTCACACTCCAAACTCCACTATGGCCAAGACCAAAGAGCTGTCAAAGGACACCAGAAACAAAATTGTAGACCTGCACCAGGCTGGGAAGACTGAATCTGCAATAGGTAAGCAGCTTGGTTTGAAGAAATCAACTGTGGGAGCAATTATTAGGAAATGGAAGACATACAAGACCACTGATAATCTCCCTCGATCTGGGGCTCCACTCAAGATCTCACCCCGTGGGGTCAAAATGATCACAAGAACGGTGAGCAAAAATCCCAGAACCACACGGGGGGACCTAGTGAATGACCTGCAGAGAGCTGGGACCAAAGTAACAAAGCCTACCATCAGTAACACACTACGCCGCCAGGGACTCAAATCCTGCAGTGCGAGACGTGTCCCCCTGCTTAAGCCAGTACATGTCCAGGCCCGTCTGAAATTTGCTAGAGTGCATTTGGATGATCCAGAAGAGGATTGGGAGAATGTCATATGGTCAGATGAAACCAAAATAGAACTTTTTGGTAAAAACTCAACTCGTCGTGTTTGGAGGACAAAGAATGCTGAGTTGCATCCAAAGAACACCATACCTACTGTGAAGCATGGGGGTGGAAACATCATGCTTTGGGGCTGTCTTTCTGCAAAGGGACCAGGATGACTGATCCGTGTAAAGGAAAGAATGAATGGGGCCATGTATCGTGAGATTTTTAGTGAAAACCTCCTTCTATCAGCAAGGGCATTGAAGATGAAACGTGGCTGGGTCTTTCAGCATGACAATGATCCCAAACACACCGCCCGGGCAACGAAGGAGTGGCTTCGTAAGAAGCATTTCAAGGTCCTGGAGTGGCCTAGCCAGTCTCCAGATCTCAACCCCATAGAAAATCTTTGGAGGGAGTTGAAAGTCTGTGTTGCCCAGCGACAGCCCCAAAACATCACTGCTCTAGAGGAGATCTGCATGGAGGAATGGGCCAAAATACCAGCAACAGTGTGTGAAAACCTTGTGAAGACTTACAGAAAACGTTTGACCTGTGTCATTGCCAACAAAGGGCATATAACAAAGTATTGAGAAACTTTAGTTATTGACCAAATACTTATTTTCCACCATAATTTGCAAATAAATTCATTAAAAATCCTACAATGTGATTTTCTGGAGAAAAAAAATCTCATTTTGTCTGTCATAGTTGACGTGTACCTATGATGAAAATTACAGGCCTCTCTCATCTTTTTAAGTGGGAGAACTTGCACAATTGGTGGCTGACTAAATACTTTTTTTCCCCACTGTAGCTACGCGGCTCTGAGACCACCATCCGTGGGGGACGCATAGCCCGAACATGCACCTCCCCACAATTCCCAACCAACGCAGCTCCGGTACGAGTCCTGTTGACAGTTGGAAAAATAGCTTGAGCTGCGTTGAGAAATCGAAAAGTATGAAAGCCAACAGTCCAATATTCTAGAACACTGCTGTGCGTACACATTTTGGACTATGATAGACGCTTTACCCAATGATCAAACGAATCACATCAAAAAGAGACGTTTATATTAACTAATGTGCTCCAATGAAACAAAGACAGCCATATCAACCGCCCAAAAACACCTAAATCACTTAAAACAATGACAACTGTAGCAGCCCACCAAACCTCAGAGAGACATGAATAGCTGAGATACAGGGGGAATCTAAACCAGGCCACCTGAAATTAACACAAAAGGATCAGTCTGTACACTCCTGAATTTTCCCATCTTCTTGTTTAAAGGAACATTTCACTACAAAATTTAAGTTCGTCAGATGTTTTCAGACCTGAAAAATAGCCTAATGTCTAAAGATGATTAATTATTTGACAGGAAAATGTCCTCTTTTAAGCCTTTCTCATTTAGTGGAACAGGGTCTTACCTCACAGAACAAGGTGAGCTTGTCATCAGGCAGAAGACCGTTGGCCTCGTCCAACAGGAAGTCTCGGCGGATGAACTTCTTAAAGCCCCAGTCCTTCCCCTGGACAAACCGATACGCTCTCTGGCTTTCTGCAGAGCCAAGGAGAGAGGAAACGTTTGTGAGAAACACTTCTATTTATAAATAGACTCATGTGTTGAACTAGAGTAAGGGTTTTCAACCGGCAGGCGGCCCACGAGCCAAATCTGGCCGGTGAGCTGATTTGATTTGGCCCACTAAAGGTTGTCTTAGTAATACTTTAAAACCATTTGCAAATCGACTTTTTATTTCATGATGTACACATTTGCAGCTAAAAGCTGAATTGCAATGTCGACAAGAGAGAGAGAGATCAACGACAAAAATGTTCAGGCACACTATTCTATAGGGGTTTGCCGATCTGGCCATGCTCATATTCGTAATCGTATCCGAAATTGGCAGTTGATAGATTGGATGATACTTGTAATAGGAAAAACTTAATGCCTAAAATGCTTTAAAATGGTTATTGGCAATAGCCTAGACCTACCTAATAGTCTCCTTGCACGTTTATAGACCACAAAAAGCTCCAGGAGCAGCGGAGGTGTGTGTGTGTGTTCTTAGAACTTGCAGCAGGCATTTTTGCTGTCACTCGCACATCATGAGTTTCATCTTTTTGATCTACCTTCGCTCCGCTTTTTAGATATTTTACACATTGTTAGCTTACTGGCAAACGTCCTTGCCCACTGATTTTTATCATATAAACAGCTGGCAGCAACAATCTAAATGATCGGAGCAAAACATGCGAGGAGAACTGACTTTAGAAATCGTCATGCAATGAGGAGCTGAAGAGCGTTACAGCTGCGCTCCATCCAATCGTAGCAGCAGCATCAACATACAGCCCACCCATTTCTTACAGACATAACTATACAATTGAGTCATTAAGAGCATGCAGCATCTCTGACTTGAGACAGATGCATGCTGGCAGCTGAAAATTATTTATTTCCAATCACGAAAATACTTGTATCACGAAAATACTTGTATCACAATTGTACGCGGAAAATTTCCCATATATGTTACGATATTCGTTTTATCCGAGTACTCGGCACACCCATCCTATTCTCAGAGCTCTCTATCAGAGAGGCTACTGCAAACCCCACTCACCCATGGCTTTGGTCTCCTCTCCCTTTGCGTTGAGGATGGAGAACTTGAACTTGGCACGCACCTCAGCCTTGGGACAGCTAACCAGGAGCAAGTAGAGGGACAGGTAGTCTTTGCTCTCCTCATCCAGCCCTTTAGGGTTCACCCGCAGACACCTGTTAGCATTATGAGCGAGTGAACAGTCAATACTCAACAGTTAAACACAGTTAGCATTCTCATCAAAGCGGTTAGCTACCATTGTCACAAGAGTTGGGCTGCTTGCACTGGTGCCGTTGCTAACTCTCCAACCAACAACATCTGGAGATAATGCCTTAGTCATTGTGTAGAATTCTGATCTTCATTCATAACAAATACAAAATATTGTCCAGCACGCACCATTTGAGCTTGTCATTGGCTCCTGAGGAGAAGGTGGAGCTCTTAATGACCTCGCCCATCTCCTCGCGACAGAAGCTGAAGTTGTTGATGGTCCACATGTAGGAGAATTTTACCACTTTGATCTGTGGGGGGGGGGGGATGCAACCAGAGATGGGAAGCAATATATTGGAAATATTTAAGTATGCCCAACATGTTGATACATTTCTTTGGGTACATAAGGACCCGCATTTTTTAGAGAGTGAAGAGATGCATGCTTTGACCTCCTGAGAAATGAAATAATTATTATAATCCCCAACCCCACACCTCCACCTGTCTCTTACCTGAGTGTAGCACCAGCTCTCCGCCACAGGCCCGCTGGACATTTCCGCAGGGGGTGGGGGACTCGGGACTCTTGACATCGCCAGGGTGGCAGCAGGTTGTGGCGGAGTGTGGGAGAATCTGTTCTTTCAGAGGTCCAGAATCACTCCCGAGTCCAAGATGTGTCGACAAACCTCAGGCGGTAACAATTTGTGCCCTGAAAAGACAAGCGACAGGTCTGAGCAGGACTTTCAAACTAACATAATAATAATAATAATAATAATAATAATAATAATAAGCCATTTAGCAGACCCTTTTATCCAAAGCGACTTACAGTCATGTGTGCATACATTTTCACGTATGGGTGGTCCCGGGGATCGAACCCACTACCCTGGCGTTACAAGCGCCATGCTCTACCAATTGAGCTACAGAGGACCATGTTCCAACTCCTGACACAGCCTTATGTAAATCGAAAAATATACATTTCATGTTTGTTTTTTAATTCCTGAAATTTACAGAAGACCACTTTTGCATAAAAAAACAAAGATGAAATGGATATTTTTCGATTTACATAAGGCTGTCAGGAGTTTGAAAGTCTTGCTCAGACCTGTCACTTGTCTGCAAGCCCAGGCTAGCGCGCCCATGTAAGTCAGCAGTCTGAAAAATAGGCAATGGTTTGGCCTCACCTGTAGCCTAACCACCATGCAATATCCTCCATAAAATGACCAAGAAGGATAGATGCTGCACATATCTCATTAGTCTAGACCAGAGTTTCCCAAACTCGGTCCTTGGGACCCCAAGGGGTGCACGCTTTAGCCCAAGCAATAAGATTATTTTAATAATCAACTAATCATCAAGCTTTAATAATTTGAATTAGCTGTGTAATGTTAAGGCAAAAAACTAAACGTACACCCCTTGGGGTCCCGAGAACCGAGTTTGGAAAACGCTGGTCTAGACTCGTGTAAACTCAATATAAATTTCAATTCATTCTCACTAACTCTGTATGAGGCAGTGCTGCACGCCTACAGATTGCCAGTGAGGCAATTGGGACAGGCTGGATGAATTGTCCATTACCCTTTGTGGACAAATCAAATCAAATTTTATTGGCCACATGCGCCGAATACAACAGGTGCAGACATTACAGTGAAATGCTTACTTACAGCCCTTAACCAACAGTGCATTTATTTTAATAAAAAAGTAAAATAAAACAACAAAAAAAAGTGTTGAGAAAAAAAGTAGGGAGGCTATATATACAGGGGGGTACCGGTGCAGAGTCAATGTGCGAGGGCACCGGCTAGTTGAAGTAATATGTACATGTGGGTAGAGTTAAAGTGACTATGCATAAATAATTAACAGAGTAGCAGCAGCGTAAAAAGATGGGGTGGGGGGGCAGTGCAAATAGTCCGGGTAGCCATGATTAGCTGTTCAGGAGTCTTATGGCTTGGGGGTAGAAGCTGTTGAGAAGTCTTTTGGACCTAGACTTGGCACTCCGGTACCGCTTGCCGTGCGGTAGCAGAGAGAACAGTCTATGACTAGGGTGGCTGGAGTCTTTGACAATTTTGAGGGCCTTCCTCTGACACCGCCTGGTATAGAGGTCCTGGATGGCAGGAAGCTTGGCCCCAGTGATGTACTGGGCCGTACGCACTACCCTCTGTAGTGCCTTGCGGTCGGAGGCCAAGCAGTTGCCATACCAGGCGGTGATGCAACCAGTCAGGATGCTCTCGATGGTGCAGCTGTAGAATTTTTTGAGGATCTGAGGACCCATGCCGAATCTTTTCAGTCTTCTGAGGGGTAATAGGCTTTGTCGTGCCCTCTTCACGACTGTCTTGGTGTGTTTGGACCATGATAGTTCGTTGGTGATGTGGACACCAAGGAACTTGAAGCTCTCAACCTGTTCCACTACAGCCCCGTCGATGAGAATGGGGGCGTGCTCAGTCCTCTTTTTTTTCCTGTAGTCCACAATCATATCCTTTGTCTTGGTCACGTTGAGGGAGAGGTTGTTATCCTGGCACCACACGGCCAGGTCTCTGACCTCCTCCCTATAGGCTGTCTCATCATTGTCGGTGATCAGGCCTACCACTGTTGTGTCGTCGGCAAACTTAATGATGGTGTTGGAGTCGTGCCTGGCCATGCAGTCATGGGTGAACAGGGAGTACAGGAGGGGACTGAGCACGCACCCCTGAGGGGCCCCCGTGTTGAGGATCAGTGTGGCAGATGTGTTGTTACCTACCCTTACCACCTGGGGGCAGCCCGTCAGGAAGTCCAGGATCCAGTTGCAGAGGGAGGTGTTTAGTCCCAGGATCCTTAGCTTAGTGATGAGCTTTGAGGGCACTATGGTGTTGAACACTGAGCTGTAGTCAATGAATAGCATTCTCACGTAGGTGTTCCTCTTGTCCAGGTGGGACAGGGCAGTGTGGAGTGCAATAGAGATTGCATCTGTGGATCTGTTGGAGCGGTATGCAAATTGGAGTGGGTCTAGGGTTTCTGGGATAATGGTGTTGATGTGAGCCATGGCCAGCCTTTCAAAGCACTTCATGGCTACAGACATCGACAGCGGACGATTGATGGCCATTGCCGGGCCACTCCAGGATCAATAGCCACCACAATGGCAATTAGGTCTCAAAATGAACTGTAAATAAACAAGGGTGAGAGCTACTCGTGTGGAATTCGCTGCCGACAGACTGTAGACCTCCCAAGCGCTAGCGAGCCACACACCGAGTCGTGAGCACATGCACACACGAACAGTTTGTTGGCCTACTGCTCACTGAATGAGAAATGATGCACAATTAGCCTAGCTAACAAAATTACTCTGTTTTCTTAGCAGAGTGACAGTATACACTACATGACCAAAAGTATGTGGACACCAGCTCGTCAAACATCTCATTCCAAAATCATGGCCATTAATATGGAGTTGGTCCCCCCTTTGCTGCTATAACAGTCTTCACTCATCTGGGTAGGCTTTCCACTAGATGTTGGAACATTGCTGTGGGGACTTGCTTCCATTCAGCCACAGGGGCATTAGTGAGGTCGGGCACTGATGTTGGGCGATTAGGCCTGGCTCGCAGTCAGCGTTCCAATTCATCCCAACGGTGTGCAATGGGGTTGAGGTCAGGGCTCTGTGCAGGCCAGTCAAGTTCTTCCAAACCACTTTTGTATGGACCTAGCTTTGTGCATGTCGGCATTGTCATGCTGAAACAGGAAAGGACCTTCCCCAAACTGTGGCCACAGAATCATCTACAATGTCATTGTATGCTGTAGCATTAAGATGTCCCTTCACTGGAACTTAGGGGCCTAGCCAGAAGCATGAAAAACAGCCCCAGACCATTTTCCTCCTCCACCAAACTTTACAGTTGGCACTATGCATTGGGGCAGGTATCGTTCTCCTTGCATCCGCCAAACCCAGATCTGTCCGTTGGACTGCCAGATGGTGAAGCGTGATTTATCACTCCAGAGAACTCGTTTCCACTGCTCCAGAGTCCAATGGCAGCGAGCTTTACGCCACTCCAGCAGACGCTTGGCATTGCGCATGGTGATCTTAGACTTGTGTGCGGCTGCTCGGCCATGGAAACCCATTTCATGAAGCTGCCGAGGAATAGCTCTTGTCCACATACTTTTGTTCAACAGTTGTTCAAAATTAGAGGCTCAATACAAAGAGATTGAACCGGATCTTGAAAACTCAGTCGGTATTTTTTAAATCTTCCGTTTTGGACTTGTGTCAATGTATGGCTCATGCATGTATAATTAACCATCTGTTATCTTCTCCTGGCTGAGAAAAAGCCACACAATCCTTACATTCAATGCATTAAATATTTAGGGCACGCGAGTTGCGCTCTCATTCCTTTCACAGTGAACTCGCACTTACAAATGTGTAAGATATCATTCAATTTGTAGGACATAACATATACAAAATGGATGATGGACATCTACAAATTCATACATATCATATGAAACGTAACATAGCATATTAAATAGAGGGATACAGATGTACGTGTTACGTTAAAAGATCATTGTCAACCCCGATCAGAAACAGTGCTTACAACCTTTATCTCCTAAAATGTGTCGCTGATTAATTTAGTTGGCATTTTGGAATATATTGAGCAATAAGCTATACGTTTTTTACCAGACGCATTCCGTGTATTTATCCCATTGGTTACAATACACATAACTTTTATGTGCTAGAGAAATATACAAACCTTCACCCACTTTTTAGATAAGAAAAATATCGACCTGGGCAATTCCACGATACCTGAATTTAACTTGTATGTACAGTACCAGTCAAAGGTTTGGACACACCTACTCATTCAAGGGTTTTTCTTTATTTTTACTATTTTCTACATTGTAGAATAATAGTGAATACATCAAAACTATGGAATAACACATATGGAATAATGTAGTAACCAAAAAAGTGTTAAACAAATCAAAATATATTTTATATTTGAGATTCTTCAAAGTAGCCACCCTTTGCCTTGATGACAGCTTTGCACACGCTTGGCATTCTCTCAACCAGCTTCATGAGGAATTATTTTCCAACAGTCTAGAAGGAGTTCCCACATATGCTGAGCACTTGTTGGCTGCTTTTCCTTCACTCTGCGGTCCAACTAATCCCAAACCATCTCAAATCGGGTGAGTGTGGAGGCCAGGTCATCTGATGCAGCGCGCCATCACTTCCCTTCTTGGTCAAATAGCCCTTACACAGCCTGGAGGTGTGTTTTGGGTCATTGTCCTGTTGAAAAACAAATGATAGTCCCACTAAGCGCAAACCAGATGGGATGGTGTATCGCTGCAGAATGCTGTGGTAGCCATGCTGGTTAAGTGTGCCTTGAATTCTAAATAAATCACAGACAGTGTCACCAGCAAAGCACCCCCACACCTCCATGCTTCACAGTGGGAACCACTTACGGAGATCATCCGTTCACCTACTCTGCATCTCACAAAGACACAGTGGTTGGAACCAAAAATCTCACATTTTGTACTCATCAGACCAAAAGGACAGATTTCCACCGGTCTAATGTCCATTGCTCGTGTTTCTTGGCCCAAGCAAGTCTCTTCTTCATATTGGTGTCCTTTAGTAGTGGTTTCTTTGCAGTCTCCTCTGAAGAGT